AAATATTTGACTTTTTAAACGGTTAAAAGTGTTTTATATAAAAGTTCATTATTATTATTCGGGAAATAATCAAGTTTCAAATCTTTTAACCCCCTAGTGACCATAGTTCTGTAATGTCGTAGTAAATTAAATTAGAAATAGGTTAATATGTCGCGTTTTAAACCGTTAAAAGTTCTTTTTTTAATTTGTACCCGCTGAAAGTATCAAAGCAGTTCAAAGGTGAATTATTAGAAACTTGCTACGTAAGGGCCCAACTTGTGTGTTGTTTGTTGTCAACTTGTTTCTGCAAAATCTTAAGTGATAAATTACTCACTTTGTCCATAGCTTTCGGGCATTATAAACAATGATCAGTCCTTTTTATAAAGCCCAGTTAATAACCACAACATCCCTATTACCATACAGTTATATATCAATCAATATTTGACCTAAAAGTCAATACATGTGCGCAGTGGCCTGATAAATGTGATCGCATCAAATTGTTGTGTCTATTCAAGCCTTCAAGTCGAGCGTGCCTAATACCTATACAATATGTACAAAATAAAGGTCACAGACTCAACGTTTTCATAATAATAACCTCCCTACAACAGATGTGTTTTTCTGGAATTCATTGCGCTTAAACATTTCGTAAAAAATGTTTAATATATTATGTATAAAAGAAGATTCGTGGTAATACTTTGTTAAGCTGTCTTTTTGCGTAAAATTATACAAGATAAAGGTATGATTGTAAAAAATAACTAATTAGAAACATTTAAATAAACATTTTAACGATAGAGTTTAGATCCGATATTTATTAGTTAAACTTGTTTGACTCGGCCGCCCCGTGACTAGGGCGGCTGCAAGACATCCGGAACGTCGGGCCGTCATCAAAATAGTTTACAAACAAGTTTAACTAATATGTATCGTGTTATAAACCGTTAAAGTTTTTATTTAAATGTATACTATAAACTACAGACCGTATTTAAATAGAAACAATCTTCTTAATGAGTGAAAGGTATCTCCTTACAAATCAAATGTTAGGTGGTAAATATTACAAAATTAATAAATATCTAGATGTTAACATCAAATTTTACTAATATAGCCCAAAATTTAATTTGGATTTTGAATTGAGTAGACTTCGTATTTTTGAAATTGATCTACGTAATTACTTTAATAGCAAACTTCGCAATCTGTACTTATTAAATAAAAAACTTTTGACTGTTTAATACGTGAAATGTTAATAATAAACCACGTGACACGGCATTTAGTTAAAAAGTCAATTAACATATACATAACAGTCGCGTTAAAGAATAATAAGTGACACTAACTTGTAACAATGTTATTGAACCAATTCGGACTTGATTCCCACATATTATAATCCCCAAAGGATATAAGTTATGTGGAGAATTTATTCCGCATTTCGGGCTCAGTTAGCTGACATTTAAATAATTAATCGCCCGAACGATATTCGGTCCCCAACAGTTTTCTTAATGGACTGTGGATCGTAGAGTGTTCAGTGAATTTTGGGAGTGGACGAAATCCTAGTTCATGAATAGGGATCAAGTGGGAAGATCACTTTGGCATTTGATATCAGATCACGGCTTCGGATTAGCGGCAGGCGACCTCTACCCGATGTTTGTGTAATGAATTTGCATTGACGTCCTTATTAACTAGGCCATGTTTGGGCTTAACGCTGCACTTTCATTGGCCTGTTTGCGGAAATTGATTCATTATAAATGTTGCCAGCTTTTCGGCGGTCCGTATTTTCAGTGATTGTTCGCGGTATATTCAGTTCTATGTATACTTTACGTATGGAGGCCGCTTCCTAACACAAAGTACAGATAATAATTGTTACAATAATGTAGAGCAATACAAATAATCTATGAATTTAAAAACGTTTATTCTATTCCAAGTTTAAATTATATTTATTATTCCAATTTTGTCTCTTACAATACTTAACAATCTATATACTGATATGTAAAGCTGTAGAGTTTGTTTGTTTAAGTAAAACGTCGCCTGTGACTAATACAGTAAAAAATGTAAAAAAAGAAACGGGGAAAATTATTCTTCTTTGTAGGTTTCCAATGCATACGCTGCATTAACGCACACAAAAATATGTATAAGAGAATGTTTCTTCTTTAAATTATCTATATGTCTATCTCTTAAACCGAACTCGCAAGAACGACGGGAACCGAACAACGGTAAATAATTATAATAATAACAATTTATGATTTATTTTAAACGATTTCGAATATATAAGACACGCTGGCTCAACTGGTTCGAGCTGTAGCACGGAATGGTGATGCCGGTTCACGTCGTACTCGTGTCGTGAATTTCTAAAAAGTTCATAATTAATATTAAAATCCTCTATACGATTTAAAACTAATTACCTAGTGCTATATAGTTATCAGTAGTTAGGTTAGTAATAAAAACAGTAGAAATGCAAAAATTACATTATAATTATTTACAGAATGTCGAGTTTTATAAAAATTAAATTTTTCAGAAGTATTTTCTCTTATTCTATACATGAAAGAGTTAACGATTATTTACAGCTTTACCATAAAAATATATTTCGTAAGCTCTGTATGTATAATGAAAAATGTAATCTACAGTCAAAAACCAATAATTGCCCTTCATTAGCATCGGGCTTAATCGTCTATTTGTTATTTCCATTTCATGTCAATCACGAATGCAATTCAGAATGCAGGGGAAATTGCTGCCTTGAAAACGTGTTTTCTTGATGAAAAGATTAGGTTATGATAGGGTTGAAACGTGAATCGTTAGATTTAATTATGGAACATGACCCGACAAACTTAATCATTACTAGACAATGTATATTATAAAAATTTAACCAGAAGGAAATATTTCTACCACTTTGTAGTTTCGTTGAACTTAGTAATAGAAAAAACTAGTGTGTTGTTAAATACGTTCGTTATTAAATATACCACACATTTATCAGCCATTTTGGAAATGTGGACACATCGACAAATTTGAATTATTTACTTTTAATACAATTAAAATAACAGACTACACATAAATTGTATAAGGCTTTCACGGCCATCGTTTATCATTGGCTTTCGGGCTGTTCGGCCGACGTAAGCGAGAAGTGGTTAGACGTTTCGCCATCACGAGCGGACGGCGTCATCAGGAGATGTTAGCTCCTCGATTGCTCGAAGAATTATGTATAGACGAGACGTCGAGAACCTCTTCCCGCTCACGTCGGCCGAACAGCCCGAAAGCCAATGATAAACAGACTAAACAATTTAAATTTAACAAAGTATATAGCATCGCATAAACACATTTATGTGAATTATATTTTATTGTTACTGTAACTCTAAAAATGACATAAATAGTATCGTGCCCTCTCTCCTTAGTGACTAATTATGCTTATTGAATACAATTTACAAATTTATTTATATTTAAAATAATGTTATACACAATAAGACGCTAGTTTTAGATGACTAAAGTTTAAATAAAACACTTTAATTTAAAACGCTATAACGGTTAAAAATCGACGATCATACTTAATTCGGCCCGACATTTTGGATGCTTTGCAGCAGCCGTGGTCACGGGGAGACTCACTAACTACTAAAGTTACTAACTAACTGAACGTCGCGATATAACTTTATAAAATGTTCTGACTAGCCTAAAACATTCATTACAACAAGGTTAAAACTTAATCTATTTCTAATGAAGCTTAAATTGGCGAGCGGTCGTCACCGGTGCAGTGTCTTTCGCAGTTCGCTGGTCTCGAATCAGGTCAGGGTAATTTGAGTTAAAATCAAATCGCACTAGATCAGTTGAGGTAATTATAACTTTTAAAATTGAGGTGAAGAAAGAAGACTCAAGACCTTTTTTAATTGTAATATCAGATGAGAATATATATGCATTTAACATTGTTATGAACTTTGTAATTTTAAGTGACGGGCTTGTTGGGGTATTCATTGCAATATATGGCTAACGATTAATGTGTCGCGGGTTCGATAACCACCGGGGCCAAAACTTTTTAATCAATTTATAATTTTTAAAAAAAATACTTTAACGGTTTAAAACGTGGAGTCTCCCCGTGACCACGGCTGCTGCAAAGCATCCGAAACGTCGGGCCGAAGTTAAAAATCATTTTCAAATAAGTTTAACTAATATATCGCATTTTAAACCGTTAAAGTGTTTTATTTAAATTTGTACTACTCGCGTAAACTATAGACAGTATTTAATTTATAATTTTTCTATAACATATTGGACTTGGGTAGTAGGGATATCGATTTACCGTCCGGGTCACGAAACACCGTCCATAGATAAAAATATGAAGTTTAATAGCGTTTTGGTTTCAGCCGATGAATTTCCAAATATCCAAAGCCAAAATAGGCTGAAAGCGTAACTTGTTAACAATTATAATATCGGTTATATGACTATTAAAAAAAGTAGACAATCAAAGTGACAAAAAAGGACTTCAAACGAACTAAGTACACATTAATAGTTCTTAGCTATTAACGTATACTTAGTTTAACAACGAACTTACACTGATTGAGTTGTTAAATGGACACATTTCTGTGTCTGTGTCAGTAATTTCATTTAAAGGCATTAAGTTGATCAAATACCTGTGCTCCACCTGACTGTAACGATTACTGATATTCAATGCATATTATTAGTAGAATAAAAAAAACATTTAATAGAAATAATAACTAAAACGTATATAACATTTAATGAGTTTAATCAAATACTTTTAACGGCTTAAAATGCGAAAAATATTAGCTAATTTATTGGTTTATTTTAACTACGGCCCTACGTTTCGGATTCATCGCAGAAGCAGTCGCGGCGTTTATATATTGTTTATCGCTTTGTAAACCGTTAAAACTGTTTAATTTTAATGTGAATTAGTCGCGTAAACTACAGGCAAATACAATTTTTATTATTTCTCTTATATTTTTCTAATAGTAAAGCATAATAGAGGAGATATTAAAAAGCCTTCAATACCCCTAGTTAAGTGTTGTACTGCATACATAATTGATTTTCCCTTTGTTTAGCTTACGGGAATCTTGGCAGTGTTTTGTCTACGCAAGGGCGAGTCGTCGAAGCGGAGGCGGCGTTCGAAAGAGCTTTGAAATACAGACCGAATATGGCTGACGTTCATTATAACTTGTGAGTATATTATTTTTTAATACCTAAATAATAAATTCAGGTACATCAACAGACTAAATTCAATAGAATCCCATTGTAAAATTAGTTCGAAATAGAGACCAAAGCTTTGAACAAAAAAGCAGGTCAATGCCTAATATTAAGCCAGAAGATGTATAATTAAAAACGTGAAATTAAAAAGTCGAGACAGATGTAAATTAAATCCACCTTTTCCTACACTGTCTTAATAAACTATTATTTTTTTTATCTGCAATAAGTAAAATTACGACGGATAACTATTTATTTTCTACAAACAAACAATTAGTACAAGTCTTAAATCAAAACATGTATTAAAAACGATGTTACAGTGATATTCATTGTACAAATACGGGCGAGAACGCATTAGTGTTTATTTGTACGTTAAAAGTACGCTTTTATATAAAATATAATGAATAATATATGCCGCATTTTACGATATTTCCTAGTAGCAATAATAAAGGTTGGACCTTTTCGTCCCTCGAGGGGTCCAACAAACATTACTTTCGCCTATCCCGAGAGTGAACTTACAAACCTTTTAAACTTTTCACTCGCATAACGGCAACAATAAATAAAAATGTCAATTGTTTGTTTCTATTTCCGCGTCGTCACATTTTGTTTTGATTTTCCGTTCCGAATATAAGTTTGTAATTGACAACAATGGAATTTATTTCAGCCCTTGTCGTTGGCTAAATGCGTTCTATGTTTGAATTTCTGTCATAAACATGCATAAAAGCGATTGTTTGATTCATCTGGTTTGTTTATGAATTTGTTGCGTGATATAATAGATTTCTATACTGCGACACAAAATCAATAGGCACACAACAGACTGTCCCATTAATTCACTGAAGCTTCGAATACTTGAATTAATCGGGTGCGCTCCTCTCGACTACACCACCTAAGCGTCGGGTTTCCGTGCAGTTTCACAAATTAACGTCAAGCCATACAACGTAATTACTGAAAGCTGTACGCCTAAACTTTTTTTCTTTTACAATGATTTGGGTTCCCTTTGAAGCCGTCTTTCAGTTGGCGATTGAATTGTACGAGTTCTTGACGTCGGCGAAAAATATTTTACGTTTTACTTAATCGGTATTAGGTGTTTTTTATACGATTTTGCGTGGTTTGACGTCGTTTAAATTAGGTTGCTGAATGGAAATGACTTGTGAATGCCATGAAATCGCTTATTAACAAATTGTAGTGTTGGAAAATTTTATACATTTATTAGTTTTTACTGCGGATGGTATTTTGTACCTATAATTGTTAGTGTTAGTAGTATGTTGTACTTGAGTTAAGCTTACTCATTTCCGTAAGTACGTTATACATACATTTTGGTACAAAGTGAAATATGTAATTATATTATAAAAAGGATATATGTTGAAAAAGAAATAACAAGGGCGGAACACGCATCCGAGTCTACAGCATTCTGTTCTGTTGCTATAAAAGTTGAGCTACCGGCTGTCGCACTTGCCATTTGTAATAGCCCCCCCCCCCCACACATTGTTACTTCAAATAGATCAATATATAGGTAGGAGTAATTAGAAGTGTTTTAACATATACCTTTCAAAATAGTAAAAATAATAATGTTAAGGAATTTACCAAGGTAGGTTGAAATTTAAACAAATTACTATGAATATTTTAATCATTAATAATACAATAAGCCATTTCATTTTACAAGTTAATGGCGTATAAAAGTTAAGTATAATGATGAACAGCCTAGTGAGGCTATTTCGTAAATGCTTGCGTCTGGCGTAGATGTGGGTAGATTGACAATTTAGGCCACATTAGTCAGCGTGATTTATTGTATGTTAGCGCTCACCGCACGTTACGTACGATATATATTATGTATATCAGCCAAGTTTCAATGAACAAAGTAACACAAGATGAACATTTTGTGGACAAAGAATATTCTTCGATTCTTGTGGAGTAGTTGCTGTATGCCGGGGTCCAGAATTATAATCAACTACTTTTCTGAAAATAATAATCAATAAAAAATATATTTAATTAAGTCCATCCCACGTTCTAGATAACGTCATTTATATCTTTAGATCTGAGTGCTAATTTTGGTTAATTTCAACAGTTTGAAATGCACGTGCAATGCATTTGTTAAATTATTTTAATATTGACCACGGCTGCTGCTAAGCATCTAAAACTTGTGTTTTGTTTAACTAATATATTTCGCATTTTAAACAGTTAAAAGTGTTTTGATTAAGTGTGTACCACACGCGTAACTACAGGCTTGAGGCGGAGACACAGTACATCTTTTCTTACATATTCCTAAGATATATCGCCTTCGCAATAGACTCTCTTTGATGTCACTCTGGTACCAAATATAACTTCTCATGTTTATTTTCCAGGCAAATAAGTTAAAATAGACTGTTTTATATATAAAATGAAATTCTCAAAACGACTCGAGTAGCACTCAGGCCACATTACATATACAAACTATTATTACCACTCTGTCTTACCCTTAATACAGCTAAAAATGTCGGCTGTTAGATATTTCATTCGCATCCGAATCTTACAACTAGATGAGTGAGTAACGCGATGCCGTAATCAAATGTACATATTAGTGTACGTTCCGTCTCAGTGTTACATAACTTTCACGCCAGATTTAGATAAGATTTATGTTGAAATAAGATGTCATTTCACACATTTTATGCTATTTATAACTTGTATCTATACTAATATATAAAGCTGAAGAGTTTGTTTGATTATTTGTGCGCGCTTATCGCAGAAACAGGTTCGAATATTTTTTTTTTAAATTCGAACCCTTAATTAATTAAAAAAACATCGCCCTGTGACTAATACAAGCGAAAATATAGCAAGGAAAAAAAATGGGAAAATTATTCATCAGAATCAGTCTCAAAAACATATTTTTAGGGTATTTTAACCGCAGCGTACGCATCAGAATTCCACAAAGTTGAATAATTTTCCTCGTTTTTTCCACATTTTCCGCTGTTCCTTCGCTCCTATTAGCCACATCGCAATCTTTTATAGCCTTTGACGATAAATTCTCTAACGGACACAAAAATAATTTTTCAATTCGAACCCGTAGTTCCTGAGTTCAAACAAACTCTTCAGCTTTATATATTAGTATAGATATATCATTAGATTAGATTGGATATCAGAAATGTATCAATGATCTGACAAATAAATTATTATTATTATTTATAATTCGTGCAAGCGTAGTATTTAGTTAGACTCCGCCCTATCCGAAACTATCAAACCTTTTATTTCTCATTCGGTTACGGTTACGGATATCGGTAACAACACTGCTATATGTGCGCTATACCTGGAGATGCTCGTAACGAAATTGTGCCCCCGTTTCCTGTAACGAAGTGACATTGGCTGATATTATCTTTAATAACATGCGCTCAGTATAACCGTGTGAGGGGGACAATTACAAATACGGGAGTTGAGCCGTTTTATTACTTATTGGGTTTTTGCCGCAGATTGCGTAGAGCTCATTACAAATTCAAATTGTCGAATATATTACGTGTTTCTAATTTAAATGGCTGAAGAGCGTTCGGTTATTGTATGATAATATGGGGGGAATTCGATATGGTTACGCAGAGGCAGTTTACATCATATACCTTCTAAAAAACCTTGAAGTTTGATTCGTATAGATCGGTTCTTGTGAGTTACTTTTATATATAGACATATAATGTCGTGAAATTGTTTTTACATTATTAAAGGAAAAGTAATTATTTTTAAATAAAACACTTTAACGGTTTAAAACGCGATATATGCTCTGCAGCAGCCGTGGTCACGGGGAGACTCCTGACCACGGCTGCTACAAAGCATCCGAAACGTCGGGCCGAAGTTAAAAATCAAAAGTTTAACTAATATATCGCGTTTTAAACCGTTACAGTGTTTGATTCAAATGTGTACTACTCGCGTAAATTATAGACAAGTATTTAAGTAATTATTTTGGCAAATACATATTTTTGAACTTGAACCGTTTTCACATGCAACGGCATCCCGCAAAAGTAAAAAAAACACTCTCATTATTCACGTATTGGTCGCAGCCTGATGTCATATAGGCTTCCTCGACAAATGGTATACCAACACAAAATAAATTTATCAAATTGAATCAGTAGTTCCTAAGTAAACTTAGGAGCGTGCAAACAAAGTCTTCTTCAATTGGTTATAGCAATAGCACGGAACGCTCGATGCCAGTTCAAGTCCTGCCCGAGTCGTAAATTTATAATTTTTATATTTTTTCGTCTTTAATCGTACAATATATAAATGATGGTACTATTGTTTTCGAACCCATTACACGCACATTTAAAAGATTATGAAGTTTTTGCGCAGGTAATCTGGTGTCAGCTCGTTTCCAAGTTATTGTTATTACGTACAAGCAAGCGTTTTTATTATGGCTGTATAACGTACGAATTGCTATCTAAATATTTATGTCCTTCGATTTGGTACTGGCCGTATTCATATTGCTTTCGCGTTGTTTTTCTCTCATTTTCGTTCCTTGTTTAAGCCCGCTTTTATTAAGCTTAACATTTTCATTAATATATTTGCATAAATACTATTTTTATTGGAAATCAATTTTTTTCTTTCGTCATTATCATTTGTTCGGTTCGGCATGGTTATTTTCAGTTTTTCGCGTGGATTAGATTATCAACGTCAAACGATTTTATTTATTTATTTTTAAATTTGCACAACATTACATTAGATTCTTATTTAACTAAAATTAATTCGTAACTAACTAAATTAACAATGACAGCATAAATATAATATGTTATCACTAAGATTAATTTTTTTTTTTTGTTTTTTATTTGATTTTCTAAACGTATTAGACAGGGCCATCCATTGAAGGGCCATCTATTTCTGTAGCTAAATGAGTAAACGTGTTGCCTATCATTGGGTTACACGCACGAGGTCCTATTTTTGAGCCCAGGATACAATAAATTTTTTTAGTCGGGGAAAGCAGAAGTTAGATCATGTATTTGTTTGTAAATAAAACCGATCATTGAAATGGACACAGAAATATGTGAAAACACGCAAACATAGTGGGTTAGTGTGGAAACCATTGTCCTATATAATATGAAAAACTCATGAAGTGTAGATTTACGATTCGGTTTCAGTCGGTAGATTTCAATGTTTAAAGCCAAAATCGGTTGATCGAACTGAGAATAGATGTTGTTTACGTGTCTTTATATTAATACATAGATTTTAATTGCCCACTTCCGTTTAAAAGAAACGCATTTACGCAACGCAAGAGAACAAAATGTACCTCACTACGAGACAAACACTTGAGCACGCATGTACGTGTCGATACAAATTTACGTGAATTTGTTTAATAAAATTATTTTGGGTGGGAGAGGTTGTAGGGGGGGCGCGCGAATGCTGAGTTATATGTCTGTAACTTGAATCCCTTGCTTGTCTATGATAAAAAAAATCACAGACCGTTTTTAGCTATCCGTATATGGTCCAGCAACTGTAAGCAGTCGATCGCACGCAAAACTCGACTGCAGAATAACTGCTCCAACCACTTAGGAATTGCTAGCGGTCCTTGTTTTGCAGATTTATTAAATTGCAGATCCCCTATGGCTGGCTTTAATATAAATGTGGCACAGACATTAGTATATTTCTAGCTCATAAATCGCTTACGATACTATCTGCACTGTAGGTGCTAAATGGTGTGTTAAAATCCATTTCCACCGATGCAAATCCAAATTCACTTCACACCGCTCCCATTACTGGAAAATGGGAGCAATGTGGGGAACAGGGGGCGATACTGGGACAACATTCCGTGTCCTTACGATAAGGGGTAGATTAAGCTCATGTTTGTACACACATATTTAACATTCCGAACAGCTAGACTTGCGACAACACCTAGCTGCTTTGCATATCGTATTTGCAAAACAATTTCGTTTAAAACGCAATTGTGAGTTGATAATAATATGCTTGTCGTTATGGGATTGCTAAAACTAGATTCTATTAAACATTTAAATGGAACTCTATTAACGGTTTAAAACACGAAATATCTTAGTTTATTTATTTACAAGACTACCTTAATTAGAGGACGATCACTAAAACGTTTGTAGTTTACAAGAGTGTTACCCATTTAAATAAAAAATTACTACTGGTTTTAAACATGAGATATCTTAGATAATCTCCCCGTCATCACGGTTGTTGCAAAGCATTCGTAACGTCAGGCCGAGGTTAAAATTAAATTAGTATAAGTTAACTAAAATATTTCGCATTTAAAATAGTTTTATTTAAATGTGTACAACTCGCTTAATAGTACATAATTAATCGTTGATTTCGTTAGAAATACAACAAAATATTACTATATTTTGTAGAGACACTAATTTTTTCACAACGAATCCCATGGATGGATGGTTCAAATATCCTACAGCAGTTTGTAGTGTCTAAAATTATAATTTTATTTAGGTTAAGTAGTAGAATAAAATTCTACCGTATAAATTATAAATAACTCGTGTTAAAAGCTAAGCCAAGTAATGTCTTTAATCATTTAGCGACGGAGATGTTCTATATATAACTGCCTGTAAATATTATACTGTAAGTCAAATATATACTTGTGTATGTGGCACGTATTTTAGGCGTGTGTCATTGTCAAAGCATCCCTTATACGTATTTGCTACAAGTCTATAGTTAGCATCCGGGTTATCTTGATTATTCAAATGTGGAACGCTACAAACTACTTGTGTTAACGCAGGTTATAATTCGAGTGCGCAGGTAAACATTAATTCAATTTACGATTTGTCACCTCGACTGAATCGCGGAATGTCGCAATCGCGTGACGCGGCGCAGCCGACGGAAGCTTTCGAGCTTTCGTGAGCTTTCGCTGCATAAATTACTAACAATTGATCCGCGCGCCTGTATTCAAACATACCGCATCAAACAAATATAACAGCGACGCCGTTAATATCGTCGAGGACTTTGTTATTACGCTCTGAGGCTTTGATCAATACAGTTCACTTTGAAATAGAGTTCTCTTTGCACCGAGTTGTTATAACTTGTTGTAACTTTCGCCTTAATTTTGCGTCATATTGTGAATTGATGACTGAATTTGTTCAGCAGTGAAAATTTTAGGATAAATTAACATTTTCAAATAAGTTTAACTAATATATCGCGTTTTAAACCGTTAAATTGATTTATTTAGATGAATTAACATTTATTATAAAGATTCGAATCGATGGAAAATAAATCAAGTCGTAATTCTTGTGTGGATTACTCTGCTTAATCATGTTACATATTATGGTTATGATCGTTGAGTTGTTGATTAGATTTACAACAATTATATATCACCTTGTCCAGTAACGTAGCGGCGTGGACAAAGATCCTAGTAGATAAATAAATAATCGGACCCTCTGTCGGCGTAGCTTGAATTTTTATAAGCCTGCAAAATTTAGGATAGCCTTGTTCATTGACTGGTACAAAAACTATATCTATATACTCACTCATGAAGATACTCGATGGCAGTTGGAAGGCCTTATCTTAAAAATACAATACTAGTCTTGCTGACGCGTGAAGCTCATCTTGTAAACGCTTATCAATAACAAATTAATAAGCGTAAAAGTTTATTAAGCAAGGAGTGACATGAATAAAGAATTTTAATCTATCTGTCCTCAGATTATTTGAATATAACATTGCTGAGTTTTATTAAACGTGAAATAAATGAATAGTGCCTCGGCCCAGTGTCGTGTAATTAACTTCGTAGTAATTAAATAAAATGGACAAACATGTAAATACTTTTAAGCTTTATTTTTCGTGGTGTAAGCCTTTTATTTTAATGCATTGGACTTTTTACGTACTTTGTGTTATTGTTTGATTCATAACATAATGTCAATTGCAGTAAACGTCTTTAACCTCCTTTTTTTACTGATGGTGTGAATGCCTAATGCACGCCCACGTCGGGCTAGTGTGACGTGGGGAGAGTGTGATCGTATAGCCGACCGGAACCACTAAACACACCACCAGCCCTCTACGGTGCTTTAAGGGAGCCCTGGGAACACGTTTGTACGAATCCAAAGCAAACGTTTTTAGCCCCTAAAAGATATCTACGAATCAATAAAAAATATAAGTTACTTATTACAGTTGAATTTTCTAAGATACCTTAAAACTTTAAAAACAATAGCTATATCTAATACATCTTTTTTTGTAGATAAGATTTAAAAAACAAACATACCTATTTTTAGGTTATTTTATTTTTCTAAACGATTATTCGAGAAGAACTTTATTTTAAAGCGAAACAAGAAATCTTTATTATTTTTTTTATGATAAAGGAAGATGGAAAAGCCTGGGTTTCACTTGATGGTAGGTGAAATAAATAAATCTACACAAATGCGCTGTCGGCCTATTTTGGCTTTGGATATTCGGAAATCTAAAGACTGAAACCGAAACGTGATTAAACTTCACGGCTATTTATCTGTGGACGGTGGTTCGTGATCCGGACGGAATTTCGAAATTCCCACCACCCATTTAGTTGGACTTCGTCTGGAAATCTAGTCTAACATGTTTCAGAAAAACTATAAATTGAAAAATTAGAAACGTGTTTGTCCGGTCAACAACACGGCCCGTTGATTATTAGCCGTACATTGCTACCATTACCAATGAGCCCGTTAGTCAATTTATTGAAGAAATTTTATATTTCAACCCGTTAAAACAGTCGTAAGTACTTAATTTATTTTGTTTGTTTCCGCGTAGGTATGTACCGATTGTTCGTAACGGACGAAACGAAAGTTTTTGCAACATTGAACACAACAATGTTATACAGGGCACGTCACTATAATTAGAGGGGAATTAGGAACAAATTATTGCTGGCGTAGACCGGGTACAATGGCCCGGGTGGGTCGGACTATTCTCATTAGTGTACGCTGAGCCCACGTTGAGCTTGCCTCGTAGATGCATTATTCATGCGGACAATATTGCACTGCCGCATCTATGTATTATTAAACTAGTTTTTTTCATCTGACTCGGCGAAATGACGTACGGCATCCTGGTGATGTACGATAAAACATCCGCTGCGCTATTTGTATGAATTATTAAGGAGCAAGAACGATTTTATTGCACGCTCGGCATGATGGACGTTTCATACATTTGTGATTGTCCATTCTGTAGTGATTAACGTTTAAATGAAACACTTTTAACGGCTTAATGACAAACGTACAATTTGCATATCGAAAAATGTGAGGATGCCATCACAGATCTTCATGAACCCAGCCAGTTTCAGTCAATACTAACTACGACGGAACAGATGGCGCTAGCGTAGCAGTTTTTTATTTGACACTATTATGAATATCCTGTAATAACTAACTGAAGATGGTAGGCTATCTCTATCTTCAGTCCTTCCATGACCACGGCTGATACAACGAAACGTCGCGTCGAGCTAACAAATAAAATGTAATTCATTGAAAGTACTTTATTTAAATGTGTACTATTTACGTAAAACGCTTTAAACACAAAAACTACAGACAGTAATATTTGATTTGACACGTTTGATTTAAAAATATAATTTCGGAATTGATGGCATTACTCTTTAAGTTTATAAATAATATTGAGAATTTTTATAAAAACAGTTTTTTTAATAACGCTAAAAAATGTATTGATAACTTTTTTATTTATGGCGTAGCAGTAAGGAAGACAATAATTTTTTATAACATCAATAATTATAAATTAGATTTACTGTAGTATATTTTTTTTATCATGCACTTTAAATCAACATTCATAAAACCTTATATATATTTATAACGTGCTCGTTATAATTAATAACAAGCTGTACCGCATTATTTTGTTTCAGAGGAATTTTACATCAAAATCAAAGGCGATACGGCGAAGCTATCAAAAGTTTTGAGAGGGCAATTTATTTTCGACCATCCATGGCTTGTAAGTGAATATTGAATTTCTACGTAATTAATTTAATTTAAGTTGCTTTCAACATTATGCTGCTTCGATAAATTCAGTGGGTTTATTTCGATAGCAATATAAGCAAAGTGTATTTTATTCTAGACCGTATTTTTGGAGAATTGCAAAAGTTGAGCCAGTTTACATATTTCTATGGATATAACACCTAAAAATCAATACACAATTGAACGTGGTACATTCGCAAAAGTAATATCGTATGTAATTTGTTTGTTCTAGATTATACATATAAGCTACAACAGATAACGACAGTAAGAACAATATACAAATATTAATGAAAGCTTACGAAGAATACACATTTGTAAATTAACCTTTTATAAATTGCCAATATTTCATGTGATGAATGGAATTAAATGCTTTTTGTGGTCTATATCTTATCGTATTTAAGTTTTAAAGACAATATCGACTCGGTATTTCAATTGTAAATATACGTGTGTCTATGTAGATAATTAAAACATTTGCAGTAATTTGTTTTCAATATTGTATTGCACTCAAAAGTATACAAAAAAGATTTATTGAATTTAAATTCAATTTTTGTATTGCTTAAAAATAAAGTACAAGTGTTAAGGTAATAGGTTGAAAATTTGACGATGACGTGTAGGACGCGGTAGTTGTTAGTAGCGGTTAGTGCAATAATTTAAAAAATAAAACCTTTCAACGGTTTAAAACGCGATATTTGTTATATTTAGATTTCTAAATAAGTGTAACTAATATATATCGCGTTTTAAACCGTTAGAGTGTTTTATTTAAATATAAATTGATTTTATAAAATAAAACTATTTTTATACTCATGAAATTTTCTATTTTGTTTTAGTGGCGTATGTGAATCTCGGTACGTCACTAATGGCGGACGGTAGATTGGCTGAGGCCACAAGCGCTCTACGGGCGGGGTCTAGGGCGGAAGGCGCCCGCGTACGTGACAGACGCGAACACGACGCGGCCCGGGTGTCCGCGCTAGTCCAGCTGGCGGCTTTGCATTCCCGAAGAGGACACTGGCACAAAGCACTCTCATCTTACAAGGAGGCTTTACAAATACTTCCTGTCACTAATACTCCTATTGTCGGCTGGACACGACACGTGTGTAATTTTTTATTATCATAACAGCAGAACAGACAAGCATAGGTTCATTAGATGGTTGGTGAAATTCCTCAGCCTTATAACATCTAAAAAACATGAGCTATCGACCTATTTTGGCTTTAGACATTCAGAAATCCATGGACTAACGAAACGCGATTTCACGGATTTTTCATGTGTGTAGGTAGTTCGTGACCAAGACGGAATTTCAATGTTCCTACCAGTTTACCGAACGAAATTCCAGTGCTCCTACCAGTTTACCGAACGAAATTCCAATGCTCCTACCAGTTTACCGAACGAAATTCCAATGCTCCTACCAGTTTACCGAACGAAATTCCAATGCTCCTACCAGTTTACCGAATGGAATTACGATATTCCTACCGCCCATTTAATATCTAGATTTTCAGACGAACTCCAAGATGATTCAGGAAAAATAGACATTCTTTAAAAACATGTTGAACATGTGAGATCGAAAAACGAGCCCGTCGAAAGATCCTTTTATTAGACCACCTTTGATGAACCAGTAAGTGGAAGTACAGAAATAGCCACCTATATTAGTTCGACGTCTGGTTAGTTTTGTGGCCAGCCGTATAAAGTCTAAGATGGCTATTTTGGCTTTGATATTCAGAATTAGACAATAGTTTTTAGAATTTCTAATACCTACACAATATACACCAGTTTAACTTTAGTTTATTGGCTTTAGATATGTCCATCGTACATTGGAGCTTTAAAGTTTAAAAGATTCTATCTTTGAAACAAGACTTGGGCAAAGGATATTTCCATACTTTCATAATATGACATTTAAAGAGCACCTCTAGAAAGCTTTGCTGGATCCGCCCGTCTAAAGAATAGAAAGTCTAAAAGTCTCAAGTCTATAATGTTTTTAAACAACTTTTCTGTGGAAACCTCTGTGTTGTGGGACACTTTGAGTAATGTTTATCACTATATAATACAATATGTTAGATTTAAGGTTGATTACATTGCGCCAGAGGTGCATGTATGAATAAATAAATTCTATGATGACGTGTGAGACACGGTAGCTCAATTGGTTAGAGGAACGCCAGTTTTATCGTTCTATTAATCTGAATATATTTATTTATTTTATTTCATTTTAAAAAATATTTTAAAATAAAATAAATATATATGTCTGTAGTTTCTATAAGTGCACAAATGAAAACGCTTTGAATTGTTTTAAACTTGAAAGATATTATTTACTGATTTATAACCGTTATGTAGTTAAAATTTGACGGACTCTTTAGTGTATGGCTAATGATCAACACGGCGTGGGTTCGATCCCCACCGGGTGCAACATCTTTCTAATCAGCATATCATTGTCTTTCGGGCTGTTCGGCCGATGTGAGCGAGAAGAGGTTCTCGACATTTCGCCATCACGTGTGGACGGCATCATCAGGAGATGTTGACTCCTACCCCACTACACACCACTACAATCCCCGCTTATTTGGGTTTATATAATCTGAGACCGCGGCGGAAAACTCATAATTCTGCGAGCAATCGAGGAGTCAACATCTCCTGATGATGCCGTCCACACGATGGCAAACCAAACCTCTTCTCTCCCCCCAAGACATGATATGCTGAACGATGACCGTGAAAGCCTTACACAATTTACCTTTCTAATCAATTTATAATTTTTCTAAACCATGTTGGACTTCGTCTGGAATTCTGGATATTAGATGGGTGGTTGGACACGGTAGGTGCGGGTCACGAACCACCGTCCAGAGATGAAAAGCCGTTAAGTTTAATCGCGTTATGTTTAGTGTATTTTCGAATATCCATCGCCAAAACAGGCCGACAGCGCATCTCTTTTAGATTTTATATGGCTGAGTTATTTTACTTACCTACAAGTGAACCGGATGCTTGTCTGTCCCCATTACCATAAAAAAATAGTAAATATAGTTCGCGTTGTATCGCATAGAAGTGTTTTATTAACATGCATTCATTGTGTTTTATTTTTTTAACTCCGCAGTTTAAGTAGGTTGAATTATCTCTATTTTTGTAGAATGTCCTCACAATGGCCGGCGATATTTATGTACAATTGCAACAATGGGGCCTGGCTGAGCACAGCGTTTTATCAGCGTTAGCCCTCGCACCTGGGCACGCGGCCACTTATTTAAGCCTAGCTCAAATTGTTGCTAGAAATGTAAGTATTTTTGCGGTTCAAACAGCTTCGCTTACGAAACAAGTATGATAATGTTATATGAAAATTATTCTTGTTAATACTTATCAATTTCCTTATATTTTTTACATATAATATAACTACTTAAGCCAGCGACTTCGTCCGCGTCGAATAGTAATTTTGGAGATCCAAATTTTTGCAAAACTCCTTTTTATCATTTTAAATTTAAACTGTTACCCACGACGTCGGTGGCATGCCATCGATCTTGCTAGTAAACTAAAAGATAGACATAATTTTTTAGATCATTTTAAGAGGAATCATTGGAATTTATACATATTTTTTGGGTATCGTAAACCGATTTCGCAGAGTACGTAATTTTATACATGAGTATAGATTAAAAAAAAATATATATTTTAGACAACACGAAATATGGAAGCAGAGATGTGGTTCAAGAAAGCAATAACTCTGGCTCCGAACGACCCGTCTGTTCGAGATCAATTTGGTAACTTTTATTTATTTTTATAGACTATCGACCGCTTCTGTAACCATATGGTTTAATATGTTGCCTAGTATTACATTAGTTGCGAGAGGTATTTGATTAGAATAGTAGAGAAACAATAGAATGTTTCAGTCGGGCACAGAAGTATGATCAACTACCTACTTGCTTGTAAAACCGTGAAACGGACACAGAAATTTGTTCGTCGCATGTCCCACGAAATGAAACGGGATTTCAGACTTTCATTAAGGTTTTTTTGGGATAGTTTCGAGTGGAAAAAAAAATAGTTAATTTAAAATTTGCTAATAGTTTCACGATAGTTGTTAATAACAATATAAGAAGAATTAATTTTGTGTGACACTTTTTTATTTCATCTTTACTTTTAGGCATGTTCCTAAGATCTCAACGTCGATTAAGAGAATCCGCCGAACAGCTGGTGACAGCTGCGCGTCTCTCACCGACCGACAGTGCGCGGGCGGCGTCGGCTGCGCGGGCGCTTCGGGACGCTCGGAAGTGTCGTTCTGCCGAGCGATGGTATGCAAGGGCGGTCGAGCTTAATCCTAATGTAAGATATTCTAAGACACACACATTTATCCATTATCTGAAATTAATTTTGATTCAAAATCTTTGTTATATTATGCTGTAATTGTTCTTGTTAAACAGATTATGAAGAGGTTAATTTCAAAAAGAGTCATATTATTTTTATTTGTCCCTTTTTCGTTATAAATATCCTAACCTAAGGCTTATACTTTAGCTCTCATATAAAATATTGCTTTGATTAAGAGATATCTTTGTATTTTCCCAACAACCATCTATGTACCATATAATTAACCTCACAAAGTCTATAAAAACCGAAAAATTACATTTATGACAGCGAGAATATTTCATATAAAACACTTTAACGGATTAAAACGCGATAGATATATATTTAAACTATTTACATTATTTTTAAATCTCGACGAATTTCGGATGCTTTACAGCATGCCGTGGTCGCGGAGAGTCTCCCCAAATTAACCATAATTTGTCAACAGATTTAACTAATACATTCTGCGTTTTAAACTGTTTAAGTGTTTTACTAAGCTACTAATTAAGTAAAACAAAACACGTACGTTCAAGTGCTTCGCCTCTGCAGCTAGATAATGGGGACATTTTCGAAACAAGTACGACAATTCACGTACAATTTCAGGACGCCGAGCACCACTCGAATCTTGGCGCTATTCTGCACCTCAACGGCAAATACGTCGCAGCCGCCACTTCATACAGACGAGCACTGCAGCTGCAACCCAACGACGAAGTCACTATTACCAATCTCAAGAGGGTTAGAACACTAATGAGCAATCAACGGAAGAAATAGGAACGTCAATTGCCAAATTTATATTTTAGTATACTTAGTTAGAGTCTCAACTTCTATAAACGCTGTGGGATTCGTGCAGTGTTACGCGTTACGCTGCCTTATACGGTATAAGTATTCAATCCGTTAGGTCAAGACGACTTGTCTTAAGAAATGATTATAAATTTAAAAAAATTACGACATGGCCACGGCATGAACATGCATTCACACGCATCCGTGCTGTTGCTCTAACCAATTAGCTACCGTGTCGTACGGTTGTTTAGAGCAACATCAATTTACCATTGATTCTGAATGTATATAGTGCCACCAAGTCCAAAAAACATGTGAATAATATTCATGTTTTTAAACGATTTGTCTTGTTTAGTTTATTAAACAATCTCAAAGAATACAAAAAAATCAATTGAAAGACTAAAAATAATGTATTTGTTTGCCGCCTCTGGCTCCGTGAAGTTCAGCGTGTGAAAGAGACAACAATACAAGAGCAAAAAGATTTATGTATTTCGCTGTACGCTTACAGCGTTTATAGAAGACCGAATCCTTACATTAACACTCGATTTATCAAAACAATGAATTTGAAGTTATTTTAAGGTAACACAATGTGTAAAAACCACCCGACTAACGGTCGTTTAACTTTTATCGAGATTATTCGTTTTTGGTGAAATAATACACAAGTATCTACCGATGGTAAAACGTGATTTCGTAATATTCTGCTTTCATATCGAGATCTGTATAAAGAATTTATAAAACGCAAGCTTCTTAACATTCTTATGGAAAGAATCTTAGTTTTTTCTATATCTGTTAACAAGTTGAATTTATATTTTAATTGAATTTACGTCAAACGCTACAATAAAATCTCAAGCTTATTTTATAAATTCTTAGTTAGGTCTAGTATGAAAGCATTGCTTTGAATGTTTTACTTAAAGGCTTATTTATTTAACAGCAATAGAGTAAAGTAGAAATGTTTACTATGTTAAAACATTGATTATTAATAAAAGTAGTTAGGTATTTTTAAATTTAATGTACCATTAACTTGTTTTTTACCTTTGCTTTGTTTCTTTGACGACAAAATATCTTAGTACATAAAAGGATCAATTATAGAAGTAAAAAAAAATGTATAATGTAACATATTATATCCTACGAGTACGTCGGTTATATAAAACTTTTTTAAGCCTTTAAAATTTCTTCCTGAACAGTTTATTTGGAGAGTCAACTTGTATGTACACTTTCAGTCTTATATAAAAGGGTCGCTTTTTACTATGGTTGAATTACAAGCAATCTGGCTAAAACATTTTTTGTGTGCATCCATTAAGTTTTCACTTGGCTTTTAACTTTGATGCTCTTTTGTTTGATCGTGCAATAAAAAGAGTTTAAGCGTGCATTCATTTATCTAACTCTCAATTTAGAGTCTAATCATGGAATTAAGTACAAAAAAATGTGCTAAAACTTTTTACTTACATTTACGACGGGTTTATTAAAATTTATTTACATTATTTCACAGCATCAGCATTGGTAATTAATTCTTGTCGTATGGAATAATTTTAACATTCAAGCCTTAAGCATTCTGGAGAAATAGGATCAAAGCCTAGACGAAAAAATGTAACAAAAAAGTGACATAATTTATTTTAATTTTTCTAACTTTAATGCATAATATTGTAAATAATAATACTTACGTTAAAATTTTTATAACGGTATTTCCAAATTGTTTTGTGCTGTCGGGGAATTGTTTTGTGATTATTTGCTTCGTCTTCCACTATACTTTATAAATAATTATCGAAATAATATTTTCCTAATAAACTTGTTGAAAGAAAAGTGTATACTCACGACGAAATATATGTCACATAAGGTAAGTATTGTTAGGCGAAGCTATGGCGTTTAAACTTTATTTTTATAATGATTTTAATTGTTGTTAATGATTGCAGTTTAGTTATTAGCTATTATTTAAGCTATTCTCAAATCTCAATCATGTAATTGTGAACTTAATTTCCTATTATAAAAACAAACATATCTATCTGATAAGAGATTAATCATTCATTGTTATTTCGTGGTAAATATGTAAAAAGGAGATGTACATAATGTTTAATATAAAGTTAATGGCATTCCAGTGTCATACTAGGTAATAATAATTTAATTCCCATATATTTTGACATTTCTTCTCATTCACACCTGTGACAATAAAATGTATATTACGCTTTGTAGTGAATAGTTTGTAATGCCAAAACGAATCAGACCTTTTGTTCAGCTTTAGAAGGGAATGTTTCAAGCAAAGGGTCTTGTTTTATTTGAATCAATATCTTAGAACAAGCTTACCAGTAATAAAAGGGTCTAAGTCTCCTTAAAAGACAAATCAGCAAGAATCACCATTTTGTAATTGACGCAAAGTCGATAAAACAATGATCGTATTGTTTTTAAATACTCGAAACCCGCTACCTTAATTTATTAATAGTAATCATTAATAAAAATATGTACTCATTTGCAATTGAATAAATACTATTAAAAAGACTGTATACTTATTGAAAATTAAGTAGCTGGCCTAAACTTTCAGTTCAAACTAATAAGGAAATTGATGTTTATTAAGATTATATTATAGTATTATTTTCTATATGCTGAAGTATAATTAAATGTTATTTGCATGCAAATACCAAACGACACGTCATTTATCAATAGTTTTAAAATAAGTTTAAAGGACTTCCAATGGGAAATCGTACAGATTCTAAATTAACATATTTCTGATAAAAATAACATAACATATAAAAACTTAATGCTGAGGAAATATGACACATTGTAATAATAAAATCATTATACAGTTAGTATCACGGTAAATTAATTTCCATTATATACTTAGCTACTGAAGGACGAGAACGAAATTATTTTTCGCTGAGTACAAAGTGACGACCCAAACACACTATAATAGAAAGTCTTTTAACATACACTTAACGTAACAGTCTTTCAATCTCAGAAACTCAATAAATAGATCTCTGTAATGGTCTATATATATTGCAAATATGAATATTATTTATTGATCTCTCTCGTAACTCGTCTTATTTAGAAATATGATAACGAATAATTTATCGAGGAATTGTAACCACTATTGTTTTTATACTAGTTATATTTATGGTGTTATGCAAGTGAAACTGCAAATTCCCAAAGTGATAATATTATATGTTGATAATTTTGTAAATAAAAGCTTCAATATTTTATTATGTGTGTTCATTTCGAAACGTTTGTCTGTGTGTGAAATCCCCTTTCTCGCTCGTGGGGCGAAAAATCTGTGTCCGTTTTATTGATCCGTTATTTAACAGCAAGCAGTTGATCAGCTTTCTGTGCCCTGCCTGACCGAAACAATTTTTGTTTCCGTGGGATTCGAACCTCTCGCCTTAACGACCTCTTACCGACCTCTCGCAGTTAACGACAATGCTAGACATTACGTTTAACCATTTGAAATGTTTGTCTGTTGGTTCATTTAAACAAAAAGCACGTTAACAGTTTAAAATGCAAAATATATTAGTTAAATTTATTTGAAAATCATTTTAACTACGGCCCGACGTTCACTGACTGTATCTCTGTGACCACGTTTGCTGCATCCGGAGCATCCGAAACGTCAGACCGCAGTTCAAATAAGTTAAACTAATATATTTCGCGTTTTAAACCGTGGAACTGTTTTATTTAAATGTGTACTTGTTTGTAGGATTCTAAGTGTTGCATCCCCTTACAACGATACGCTTATTATTTTGTACTTACCAAAATACGACCAAATTTCTTTACCCTCCCAGAAGAATTAATGTGTTGGTCTCTCGTGATTCAAACCCCGGATAGGAAATGCGATATATAAAATTTTATAAACATGATAAATTGGCAAGTATAAAGTGGAATCCTAATTTATTTTATGTCAAACTTTGTCTTAAGAAATGGCTCTATAGATAAAAGATATAGCTAAAGAAAATAGCCTCATTTTCCTATAACACTAATGAAGTGTGAAAAACCATTTGTTCTTTGTGGAGTATTATTGTCTAGTTTGCGGATTGAATATGTTTATAGGCAAATAGATGATTATAATTGAGTAGCGTACTGAAATAATTTTATTTCCCAGGATATGAAACCACGACCTCTTGCCCTTTAATAATAGAGTTCTCGTTTAACCACTGAAACATAGGGGTGATGAGTCATATATTGTTATTAAATGCAGACAATAAGACAAATGAGACTGTCATAAAGGAAGAGATTCCTTATCTTCTACCCACTCTTACTTTAACTAAACATAAACTTTTTATGAAAATCGGTTGATTCGTGTCAGCGTTCGGAATTGAAAGTATTGGACATAGTAGTTAAGAAATAAACTTTAATAGTTTATTTAATTATTATTAAATAATTTGTTACCTACTTTTGTATTTATAAAAATATTACTTAAGAAAAATTGAAAAATAACTGTAATATCTAATAAGTAAGGACCGTGGGAGAAAGATATTTAGTTTAGCATTATTTATTATTGCAAAATTAGAATATAATCACTTTTAGGCATTTTTAAAAATACCCAGATAATCTTATTGCCTGTAACATATAGACTGTTTTGAAAATGCCCTATTCATTAATGAACAGAATTGCTCCCAAATCCAAGGTTTATAAAACTGGCCAGGAACTTAATATTAAACCCGGACAGGAAGATTGAAAGGAGTCATAAAACCGAAAGGTCTTATAAAAGCGCTTTAAGATTGGTCTGTGGGGATTTTATTGCGTAACGCATTAACGCGTCGTCTTATTTTTCGCTCGGAGGTGAAATAAGTTAGGAAAAGGTTCTTGGCACATACGAAACTTACTTATTGGGGAATTGACTTTGTGTAAAAGTAAGAAAAGCATGGGGTGAAACATCGGAGTCCCTATGACTTGTAATTAGCTTGCGCTGACGACTGATATTTTCGACTTTTGACATGCTCCAAGGCCTGAAATCAATACGCACATTTACACTGCAATCGATATAAAGAACATCAAACAGACCCAAACATATTGTG